CGTTTGATCGAATTGTGGGAATTGACCTACACTCTCATGGCACACCCTGAGCCCTATAGTGTTTGAAGCACGTTTTTGAGCGAACCAAGAATCCTCGGTTTCACATTCCAGATACTCCAACTACTAAGCCATACGCCACTCGAATATATAATAATTGAAAATGATTTCTTGACCGGTAGTCAAAATTATTATATCTCTTATTTATGTAATTAATAGAACGATGTGTGTCAGTCAGTCCATATGTGTGTGCGTGCTGGCTCACATGGAAACTTAATATTTCTATTGGTTGATCGTACAGTGGCGCTTTTACGTATATACGAGCGCAAAAGATAATTACTTCAGTAACATAAACAAAGACGTAAGGAAACACAATAAGTTACTTTATCTTTCTGCGTTTTATAAATAACGCAATAACGTTACATCTTAATAGAAATTCCAACAGGCGCCTAACGATCGATAATTAGGCCTAACGTTTAAATAAGTTTCGTACGCGAAGAACGAGCCAATGAGAATAAAATATTACACAATTTCTGTTACTAGTGGTAGTGGGCCTGACGCACTGTTAATATTTTAGAGGAGAGTAAAAATATTTGATACCATGATGGGAGGAAAAAAGAGAAATAAGTGAAACATCGACAAAGGAAGACAGTTGACTTTTACACTCCTGGTGCCATAATTTAAAAAAAAATCTGTATTTGATAAGGCCGCTTTATCAAGAAAAAAAAATCTCACGATCTTAATCAAAAATAGCGATTAGGGAAAAAGATAAAGTGTTTGTACAAAAAAAAAATAATTTTTTTTGTACAGAAATATATTTCGTTTATAGTAATTCCACGTTTTTAAAAACTAAAACTTCAAATCTAATTATAACAATTTCATATTCTCCCTAATAGGTTTTTGTTTATGGAGAATTCATTTTGTCTATATCAATCGTATTGTTTTTACTAAACAATGTTTCAGTAGTAAAATAATTTTAGCACGTACCTCGTACGATGAAGCACGAGTTTATCCCTTAGTTGTGACGTAATATCGTACAGATCCAGAGATAAGTTCCTGTTTTCAATATAGAAGGTTTGAAGTAAGCCAGCGATAGGGGTGGAAGGATTTACACGCGAGTAGCTTCAATATTTTGCCCTATATAACTGTAATCTCATAAAATATATATATTTTTTTCATTCCTGAACTGAGCGAAGCAGTTTGGCAGGTCTAAAAGTTGTCGTTGATTTATGGGCTCACAATCACGTTTTTTTTTTTGCGAATTCCGAACACTAGTTTCGGCTCTTCTTATGAACTCATTTCTTAAATACACGTTCGTCATTACAGTGTTCCCCCTTCTTCTCTGTTACATTCTGTAAAGTACGAGAGGTTCAAACATATCCTGTATAAAACAATACTTTTAAATTGGTGGCATAATAAGCACGGTACGTCCAAAACTGGAAATATTTTATACGTATGTCATGTCGAACATGCTCGCCCTTTCAACCGTGGTGGGGGGTGGGGGGCGTTATAATGTGAGGGTCAATTCCACTATTCGTTGGTAAAAGAGTTGCTCAAGAGTAGGCGGTTAGTGTTGTTGACTAGCTGACTTCCCTCTAATCTATCACTGCTGCCCCCCCCCGGGGGCGGGTACGGTGGTATGGCTGCGGATTTACAATACTAGAAACCGGGTTTCGATACCCGTAGTGGGCAGAGTGTAGCTTTGTGCTTAACTTCGAACAACAACAACTATCACTGCTAAATTAGAGACGGCACATAGTTCTCATGTCTTGACGTCACAAGTCATGTAGGGAACAGGAGGAACCAATGTCGATTAGATTTCGTTGAGAAGATGTGGTGAGCTCCTATCCCACCAGAGATCAAGTTTGAAGTTCAAACTTGGAAGCCATTTCAATCCTATATGAAACCAACGCTAAAGAAAAGGAACTTGTGGAGTATCTTAACCAATCATGTACGCCGTTACCCCCCCCCCCCCCCAACCCAAAAGCCAATGAAATAAATATCGGGCACAGTTGCTAAAATATACGCATATATATATAGCAAACAAGCATCCTCTAAACCAAAATAATAATAATAATAATTACACTTATTCAACAATTGTATAAAATATATTGTAAAAAATATTTTGCATATTTTGAAACGAAATATGCATCATTACATTGGTTAGACGAAAGTGATTAGTCCTAGCGTGTAGCTACATTAATTAGACGAAAGTGATTAGTGCTAGCGTGTAGCTACATTGATTAGACGAAAGTGATTAGTCCTAGCGTGTAGCTACATTGATTAGACGAAAGTGATTAGTGCTAGCGTGTAGCTACATTAATTAGACGAAAGTGATTAGTCCTAGCGTGTAGCTACATTGATTAGACGAAAGTGATTAGTCCTAGCGTGTAGCTACATTGATTAGACGAAAGTGATTAGTC